TGATAGAATTAAGAATCTGAGGGCAAGAATAACTTTTTACCCCAGCTTTTTATGGTCTTGCAAACACAAGCATAAGTCTGAATCCTCTTTTGCAGTTCACTGGTTCACTGGTCTCTAACAAGCCCTCCTCTGCATAGAGGTTGATTCAAGGGCCCAAGAAAGACTTTATTCACCCCATCACGAATCTCAAAATGTTAAACACCTTCACAAAAGTCAAAAGATTCAGAATGGAGTCCATTTGTTTAGTGGTCACTACGTTCCACCAGGGAGACTTCCTGGCATTGACATTCAAGATATGTTTCTTCATGTCTGTCTTACTAAGTTTTACTTGATCTTACTTCTTTACCTCAGTATTCAGAAAGGTTTGGGCCCGATTCTTGCTCATCTCCACCTCAGGGGGATCCCAATTGTGGGTTATCTCAATGATCTTCTCTTGCAAGTTGACGCTCGTCATTAACAGCAGATGTGATTAATTCTGGACACTGATCTAGCAAAGAATTTTCTTCTACTGAACAAACTTCAGAATCATGTCAGGAGTCTTCATCATGATCTGTGGTATTCTTTTTGTTCCTGTATGATGGTGTTGGGCCTGATGCTCTCTTCCTTCAAAGTGGTCTCTTTTGCTCAGTACCACACTCTAACCCCCCAGCAGGAAATCCCCTAGGTAACAGATCTCTTTTATCCCTGGACAGAGAAATCTTTCTCAGTACTGGGTACAAGTGGATGATATTAGCCAACAAAATGTGGATCTGGGGGTATTAAGACAGAAAAATATGCTCCAGGTGGGGAACTCTGAATGTGGATCTCCTAGCTTCTCATCTCACTAAACAGTGAGCAGATCAACTCGAGGTCGAGGGACCCCCAGGCTGTCACAACAGGTGCTTTATTGGCACCATGGGACAGCTTTACTCAAATCTATGCATATCTTCCTGTACATCTTCTGCCCAGGCTTCTTCTCAGGATAGAGCTTGGTATGAAGTCCTGATTTGTCTGCTAGCAGTCAAACCTTCCTGCCTTCCACAAAGTCCAGATCTCCTGTCTCAAGGCCTAGTCTACCATTATGCCTCTTGGTCATTGGCTTTAAAAGCATGGCTGAGGGTTAGGAGTTTTGTGTCTGAAGAAGGTGGAGCCATGTATTTACTCTCCCAAGTTTGTTAGGCTACGACCTGGTCCTTTATTCATACCTTCAGTAAATTTTATAAAGCAGATGTGGTTGAATTGGCTGCTGCTAGCTTGGCCACAAAGCTTTGAAGCCAGTGGTGTAATTTCTCTTGTAGGTAAGAGCTTACCTTCTTTTTTTTTTTTTTTTCTTGTTGGTGTATTTCCTGTCCCTTTTGTTGGGTACTGATTGCCGACTTCCCACAGGTACTGATTTATCTACAGTCTAAAGATATACAGTATCTCTCAATGAAAGGAAGAGCAAATAAAAATATTTTGCACACACTGTAAAATTATTTTCTGAGTTTATTGACAGACACAGTTTCCACCTCTATTTTGGATTGTTTGGGCCTGTTGCCAAACTATGTTAGGTATATGCTAGGTTGTTTATACTGTACCTGTACTGCTTTTTACTACCTGACAATTTCTAACAGTTGTGGGGGGGGGGGGGGGTTATAGCAACTAAGGGAGCTGTTCTCCTAGCTGTCTATTCAGTTTTTTTTCACCTAGTGTTTTACTTCTGGAAATGGACAGCTTACTCATCTGGTATTGTTTGATCTTCAATCAAAAGCTGTGTTTTTAAAGAACTCAGAGAAAAGACTTCTACGGTTGGTACAGACAGATCTAGTTTATGTACTGCATTCTTAAGATTATTACATAGCTGTATTTAACGAACGTTAATATGGTTGAATGATTTAATTATGATGGATATAACATGATGTGTTGCTACTTTTAAGATCAGTGCTTTAAATCTGTGGCATTGCAGCTTTAAAAATCGTTGCATTGTGGAAGCTAGGATGCAGTATTATACTGTAGGTTCCTACTTTCCTTGACTCACCCACCTCCTAGACTTAAGCCTTTTGGGTCAATGTATTAGAGGGTGGAGTCATGTGTGAAGATTGAGAGAATTTTGTTCTGATCTATCTGGTACCAATAAAGATTGCTGCAGTTCAGCAATTTAAAAAAAAAAAAAAAAACACAGCAGAGTGTGACTTGTGTATTTGTATCCATATCAGTTCACCTGACTTTCCTAACCCACAGTTTTTTGATTGTGTGATAGCTTAAATGAAAACTGTGGGTGGTAAGATGCCTTGTTCCCTTTAGTCATTTTTTAATTGAAAGTTAGTTGAAAGTGATTGAAATTGCCACAAATGTTGTCTAGTGTGTATAACACCTAATCTAACTTTAAATCATTGCCCCTTATATATACCTAACACTTTATCTAGCTTTGAATCTAAAGTGAACCCTAAATCTTTTTAATTAGTGTATTTGGCAACATTCCTCACTTTATACAATTCACTTCAACAAATTGTTTTATGTGGAAATCCTGACAAAATGGCACTTACCGTTGCAGGCTGACAATGCTAAGCTTTGCAATGGATTTTCTCCCTCTCTCCTCCAGGGGGTCTCTCCATTTCCTACAACTCCTCTCCTTATTTCTCCATGTGTTGGTAACATGCAACCAAAAATCAGATATAGTGCCTTATCTCCTTTAAAATATTTATTTAGGCTTCAAACATCGATGCACTCACATTTCAGAACATTAAAAATCACTTTGTGTTGTATTTTGGCATCCTCTGTGTGATCTCCACACTGCCTATACTCGCCGTGTAATACTGCTTTAAGCGTCATGACGTCAGGGGGAGGGGTTGCCATCCATTCATCTTCACCCAGCAAAACAGGGCTCTGGAGGACAACAAGACCCCCTGTGGAGAAAGAAAATTATTACACTCATCATCAACCATCCATCCATCTGGGATAAGGATGCCATCTGAAAATTACCCACTAGTCCATATAAGCGACACAAGCTGGTTTGACCTTACTTAACGGTTTAGTCAAAAAATAAGGTGAGCGCATAGAGGAGAAGGAGCACTATTTGAACAATCATCACAAAGTGGACTTTTGATTATATTTATTTTTTGATTAAAGTAATATTATATTTAATTTTATTATATTCAATTTGATCACCATATTTATATTTATTTTTTTATATATCAGAGTATTTTTTACGGTTCATGGTATTTTTTTCCATATCAGTATTTGGTAATTGGAAAACCACTATATGATTTATATATTTGGTCACATAAGGTTATTTATATACTTCTATTTGGGATTATTGGTGGAGCGCGACACAATTTTGTATAATATTTATTAGAGCTACACATGAATATGGGTATGTGTATAGTGTAAGCAAACCACAAGAATAATATTTATTGAAATATTTATTGATTTATAATATTTATTAATTCATAGTATCATTAATATTAATTTCAATACACCATAGTAGCTCACAAGCACTGTAATTATAAAAGAGCACATGTTAAAGCCTGTAGGATTTTTCATTCTACCCTAGGAGGATGCAGAACCCCTGACCTCTATCTGGACAGTGCTGATAGGCCCTGTGCTGATCACATGCACTGTCCCGAGAAAAAAAAAAACCTCTCTAGCAATACACACCAAACTGAGTGACTCCACAAGATATGTCTTATCAGGAGATATGAGGGGGACACTGAAAGAAAGGGTGGATCAAAGACTTCAGGATCAAACAGCCTTTTTACACAGTGCAGAGGATTAACCCCTTAGGTTCCATAGTGAGTATAACAAGCAAGCTTTACTGCAAATACAGACTGATTTTACTGTTGAGAGTTTAGAAACACTTTAAGTCTTAAAATTTAGGCATTAATTTTATATGGAAACAATCCCTAAACCTAACCATGTAACTCTCGAATCTAATGCTATCGTAACTCAACCAATTGAATGTCTTATTGACTATGAATGTGAACATGCTGAAAATACATATTCTTGCATAGAGGTCTTGAGACAAAAATCTAGGCACCCAAAAATAGTCATCTGTAATGTTTAATTCTTCTTTTGCCTTTTACTGTACAATATTTTAGCATTATTGCCAGTGAATCTAATATGCTAGATAAATCTAATATGATGTTTTTTATATTCTATAGAATGCAAAATGCATAGACTTTGGCATTCAGATGTGACAAATGCTTTGACATATATACACTCCTAATACTCAACATGACATAGTGTGTTAGCGGTAGTTTTAAAATTCAGCAGTTATAACAATGGTGTTAGAAACAAAAATAAAAAAGACGATAAGGATTCAAAATTATGGTCCTGAAATTGCATTTTGAGGAAGAGGCAAGTCCTCGAAACTCGTTAGCCTGTTGAAGGTCCAGTGTTTCTGTTTGGAAAGCCGTATCAGGCAGACTGGACAGTGCTGTTCTCTATGATGAGCTTTTACACATTTGACTTTTGTGAGTATATCACCTATTATTTTTATCAATAAATGTTATGTAGTTAATGCACTAGGCTGGTGCGCCCTCTGTTTTTCTTTACACCCTGAAATTGCATTACCTGTCTATAGTGGTATAGTGTAAATAGATTTTTAGACTGGGTGGCCTAGCAGAAAGTAGAGTGTCCAGTCTTGTGGTTACTCATAATAATCTTGTGTCCTTCCTTTATGACCAGTATAAAGTGTCATCTCTAATACATGGTGCTCAGATGGAATGTTCATGGTTTTGTCCTTTGTTTTCCAAAAAAAAGCATGCTGCAAAGTCATCTACTCCCCAGGCCATAGGTGAAGATATATCATGCAGTCTTTGGTGGTACTTGGCAAAATATATTACTACTCGCTATTGTCAAAGAGGCAGGTGCAAGCAAATGTAATTAGATTTTTTAGTTTTCTGTGCTTGCGGTCTGTGATAGTGTGCCCATTTTCATTCATGCACCTGGGAGGCTCCCTGGAGAATTACCACCCTTTGCAGATCTTTATTGTTCTGTTGCTGTTTTTTATATAATCTGAACTATCTGTTTTTGATCTGCAGGAAATACCAGTGCACTTACTGACCAGTCAGTTTATCACCTTGGCAATGGAACTACAAATTATTCCACTGAAGGGCGGGATGCAGAGACTCAGTTAAATTATGATTATTTGCAACAAAATAGAAGTAGGTGGAAACAAAAAAAGTATTTTTTATTATGAGTACCAATCACTTAAAGTATTTTAAACTATGGTCATGATGGATACACAGAATATAACTGGATACTAACATTTATAGGTAAAGTTGATCCAGGGAATATCCGATTGCCTCTCAGGGGATAAGGAAGGAATTTTTTTCCCCTGCAGGATCAAATTGGATTGTGCTTTGCTGGGTTTTTTGCCTTCCTCTGGATCAGTTGTGGGTATGGGATTATAACTTTTTTTTTTATGGTTGAACTGGATGGACATTGTCTTTTTTCAGCCAGACTAACTATGTAACTATGATGGGGATGCAATACATGGTCTTTAAGGTGTTTTTTTTTTTTTTTACATTCAACACTTCTGTAATTAACTGGCTGCCAAATTTAAGCGCTTATTTTTTGTATAATGCTAACGAATATAGCCAAGAGTGGCAGACAGGTCAGTGGAATATTGCATTTATAAATCAATATAGAGTAGCAAAAACAACCACTTATTTTGGTCTCATATTGTAATCTCTGATATCTTTGATCAGGGTAATTATAAGCAGGTTTTGATCATAAGTTCATCTGCAATCATTTCTGTATTGATGCCTGTTAGTTGCGAACAAATGTGAAGTGGCAGGTAGCCAGTGTTCCAAATATAGCAGCTGGCTAAAAATAACTTTTTCAGTTTTATATACACCAATCAGCGCACAATTATCCTTCACAGATCTTCATATATTGTCCACCAGATTGTTCCCAATAAGCATGCTTTGTACATCATAAAATCTTCTCTGTCTTCTCTTCTTGATCACCTATTCCACTGCTCCCAGTCTCCAAAAAACAAAAACAAGCTAATATAGTGTAGTGAATTCGAACATAATATAATACGTGATACACCCGTGTACTAACTATACATAGCCAAAACCGTGTAAATTCAAAAACAGTTTGTGAATAGTATCCACTGCTATCCACACTAATTACTCTTACCCTCACAGGGTGAATATGTGCATATAACTCCCCATCAATATATCTTTTACTCTTGATTGAAGTACAACCGTGCACCATCCACCTCCAGTGTGCAAAACAAATTCACATGCTCTTCCCTTCCCCTTTGGGCATGCACCCTACCCTGCATACATTTCAATACTTTGTATAATATTCACTCTACTCCTGTCTTCAATGATTCTTCATATACTCTTGATCACCATATGAAAATCAAACATACAAGCCCATAGAGCAGCAGTAGTGTAAAATGACCTATTTATTGTTAAAATTGCGCTTACATGAAATAATTACAAACAACCTGTACCAAAATGGCTGCTGCGGCACTTCCGGTTACGTCTAACATCACTTACGTCTGATGTCACTTACGTCTGACACGTTTCATCATCAAATTGACTTCCTCATAGACAGTAGATGTCAGACGTCTCCAGACCATGCTTTAGAAGGAGCTCCTGCCATAATCTTTGAAGCCCAGTTCACCATCTTGTTTACTGGACCCCTTGTACTAGTACGACACTAAGTGCTAGTGCATTTAGCTTACCTAGAGTATATGATGATGTTGCATTATTTCTTGTAATGCCTCCATACCTGTCACCTCTTTTATCAAAGTTTACAAAGTACAAGCCACATTTTTGGGCTTAAAACATTTTTTTAAAGGGAACAGGACACAGAATATACACACTTTTGAATCTCCCCCATACTGACTGTCTGCTTTTTTCAGCAATGTCTGTGCTCATTATATACTGAGTAAAAGGTAACCTGTAAGTATATAAGTATGGGATATATGTGCATGTGTGTATACATACATACAGTGTGTGTGTGTATATATATATATATATATATATATATATATATATATATATATATATATATATATACACACACACACACATGCATACATACACACACACACACAGTATATATAAATATTAGGGATGCACGGATACCCTTTTTTTGATCAGCAAGTATGAGTACCGATACTTTGTGGTGTGATTTGCGTCCATACAAAGTGTATGGACGTAAAAAACAAATAATTGTGTACCTCATAGTAACCACATACAACCCAGCACTAGAGAGGATAAGAAAAACAATCAAAGAATTACAACCCATGAGAACAGAGGATGAAACTCTGAAAGAAGTATTCCAACAACCCCCAATACTGGTTTTCAGACAGCCATCCAACCTTAGATATAAACTAATCTGCAGGAAACTGTTTCAAAAGTCATAAATAAAGGAATGAAATCCTGCAACAAAAAATGCTGCAAACTGTGCAACCCAATCAATCCATTAAAAAGTGTCACACACCCAAATGGCAACCTCGATAACACAGGATCACACAACTGCAACTCCAGTAATGCTGTGTACCTTATCCAATGAAAAAATGTAGCAAAGGATTTTACATTGGCGAAACAGGACAGAGTTGCAAACAAGGATGAATTTGTACAGACACACACATTAACCACTTCCCGACCGGCCGTTGTATATAAATGGCCGGACGGTGGCACTGCAGGGTCGGGTGGCCGTCTATAAACGGCCTCCCCGCACCCTGCTTGTGCGCGCTCCCTGGGAGCGCGCGCAGCACCGTGATCCGGTGCCCGCTGTGTCCTCCGGACATAGTGAAAACACCGATCGTCGGACGGGACCTCTGTACGAGGTCCCGATCATGTGATCACTGATTGGCCAATCAGTGATCACATGCAAAGTAGTAAGCAAGATGTCACTTCTGACATCATTGCTTACTACGTGTGAAATCTGTGAATGATCACAGAGGTCACATGGTACAAGGCTATTCACAAAAGCCTTGTACCATGTGACAAGCTTTGACCAATCACAGCTCACTCTGTATTTCTCAATGAGTGCAGGAATGCACACAGAGAGAAAGAGAAATGATTGCTTTTACATCCTATATGGGTGTAAAAGCAATCAGTGTAAAAAAAAAAAAAAAATCTTTATCGCCCCTCACAAGTAGTACAGTGGCACCATGGTGACACTGTACTGCTAGGGTGACAGTATGTGAAAAAAAAAAAATAATAATAATAATAATATAAAAAAATAAAATAAAAATGTAAAAAAAATTGTTTAAAAATTATAATTTTTGCTTATAAACTAATTTGTATTTTTTTTTTTTACTAAAAAGATAACGGAATAAATTTTGGCTAAGATTTATGATGAAATATTATTTATTTGCAAAATTTTATTAAAAAAACACTTTTTTAAAAAAATTTTTGGACATTTCATTTACATAGCAAAAAAAATACAAATCCCAGTGGTGAATAAATACCACCAAAATAAAGCTTTATCTATCTAAAAAAAATGGGAAAAAATTCATTTGGGTACAGTGTTGCATGACCGCGCAATTGTCATTCAAAGTGTGATAGAGCTAAAAGCTGAAAATTGCCCTGGTCAGGAAGGGGGTAAAAGTGTCCGGTCTGGAAGTGGTTAAGGAACATAAGGAAGAGATTTTCTGCACACCTGTGGGATATCATTTCTCACAACCAGACCACAGTATGGAAGACCTTAAAGCGGGACTACATTCAATCTGAGCACCACAAACCTAAAATACGGTTTAATTTATTTGTAATATTCAAAGCAATCCCCCCCATGCATCCTTGCTTAATTTTGCTAAGAAATAAAGTTGAAAAACACCCACTAAGCATTTCTGGCCGTGGCCATCTTGAGTAAGGGTGATCACTGTATTAGTGTCATTGGGATGTCTGTGGCAGTTAGTCAGTCCCCCCCCCAGTGTCAGAATGCCCGCAGCAGTCCCGCTATAAGTCGCTGATTGTTAGCATTACTAGTATAAACAACAACAAAAAAATTCCAGTTATAGCGTATACAAATGGCAGTATATATACCGCCATTTGTAGATGCTATAACTTTCACGTAAACCAATTAATTTACACGTATTGAGACTTTTTTTTTTTTTTTTTAGCAAAGACGTAGCAGAATACATTTTGGCCTAAATTTATGATGATTTGATTTTTTTAAATTTTTTTTATACTGGACATATTTAATAGCAAAAGGTCAAAAATATTGTTTTTTTTTTCCTAAAAATTGTCAGTCTTTTTTTTATAGCGCAAAAAATAAAAAACAGAGAGGCAATCAAATACCACCAAAAGAAAGTTCTATTTGTAGGGAAAAAAAGGACACAAAGTTCACTTTGGTGCAGCGATGCATGACCGCACAATTGTCAGTTAAAGTAACGCAGCACTGTATAACAAAAAATGGCTTGGTCAGGAAGGAGAGTAAATCCTCTGGAGGGCAAGTGGTTAATATTAATTGCATAAAGGCATCCAATTAAATTAAATGGCTGCCAATGCACCTAAAGAACTGACATGCACCATTTTTCTTGACACTGCACACTACTAATGTATAACTGTACATGTGGTGCATCACATGGGGCTCAAAGGTGTGTTGGGGTGTTTGAAAATAAATGGCAGCACAATGGACTAACACACATACCTCAACAAAAGAGGTATGAATGGGTCCCTAGTAAAAATATTGGAGTATGGAATTGTGGAGAAATGTAACATTCCAAAAGTGTTTAAACTAAACATATTTTGGTCCACTTCACTGGGCACCCCTCATCTGCTGTTTCTGGGCATTAACAAAGCAGGAGTAACCTTCATTTTACATAGGCTACCACAAACTGCAATGCATCAATAAGAGGTCAAGCAGCATTTTTCCAGATGTAGCCCACCTCAGTGCACAGCCACTCTGCATTGAATCATGGTACAGGCGTTGGGGTACTGCATGGTAATATGCACATTAGCACAATGCAGAGGTGTGTGAATGCTTTATTCAAATTGTATTGTAAAAATCAGATAATGTTTAATACAAACACTGTATTATTAATTATTGAGTGGCACTAAAGGTGAGGTGAGAAAGCAGAGCATGGAGCCCTCTGTTCCTCTCACTGATACAAGAGACTGTTGTACCAACTGACACCAACAATGGGTCACCATTTCTCTCATTGAGAGCAGTAATTGGGCACGCTTCTTCCCAATGATAGGACACTGTTCCTCCTTCTAATATCAAATGTGGCAATGTTTTCTCCCACTGATGCCAGGAAAATATCCACTCCCACTTGCAATAGTTCAGGCCCCCAAAGTTTGAAGGACAGTAAACTGACCCTTTGTTTAGAAGGTTTGGAGACCCCTGATTTAATTCATGGGAAAGAGAGGGGTTCACTTGCTAAATGTTTATTTTATTTTATATAAAGCTATAACAAAACTATTGCTAAATGTTTGAATGTAACATTTTGATAAATAAAGTATTGTGAGGTAAAATAACTCATACAGTTGACTCTCTGTATATACTGTAGTTGTTATTATTTGCACTTCCTTTCTAAAATGTCTGTTAGAGGACTAAAAAATTGTTTTTCATGTATGGAAGAAACAAAATGTTGTCTAAAGTAAAATGCACAAATGAGATCCTTATTTTGTTTTAGGTATACTTTCAAACAACACCGCATCAAATCAAGAAACATCTCATACAGAAAGAAAGAGGTTTTGTCTAATCATTGCTGCAATCTCTGTTGCACTCCTTGCTGTAGGCCTTGTTTATTGTATTTTAAAGAAGACAAAGTGTTGTGAATTACATGCAAAAAACCACAATAGGGTAAGATGGAAAAATACACATAGTCCTAACACAGTTGTGTACTGTGTCACTGCTAATGCTTAAATCTGGTGTTATGACTTATTACAGGGAGCTTTGTATTCTGCCAAAACACAGCACTGTATACAGTTTGTACAGTAATCTCAGTCACTGCACCTTTTAGTGAAGGTAATAGTTCATTTAGACCATCTTGATTCAAACAAACTAGTTAAACTTCACTAAAATCTGGAGATAAGCTTTAATGAAAGTGCAAATCTGTAGGCCATTTCCATCCCCAAAGCTTAGGCAAAAAAATTACCACTTATTGCTGACATGTCTTGGCTAAGTTCTGGGACACTGCAGAATTTAGAGTCTTACTCCCAGCATTGCATGAGCATGCGGTGTTCCTCATTCAAATCCTTGTGCAAAGATATGGCAAGGGATACGGATATCCCCCAGGGGAAGGCCTGGTGCATGCATAAGCTTCACCATTCAAGCTTGTTGTGGTGATTTGAATGAGGAAAACATTTTTTTTGCTGCGTTGCTGGAAGTGAGCCTCTAATGGCTGCAGTCTCCTGGAACTTGGCCTGGACCTGTCAAGACTAACTGGGAGATTTATGGCCAGGCATCTGGAGGAGGTGGATCAAAATGGCCTTCAGGTTTGCATTTACATTAAACAACACATTTTACAAAATGTGTAATGTATCTCAGCCTACTGGGGCTACTTGTATGCTACACCTTCCTAAAAAGGTGAACCTAGACTTTGAGATGTTGATACTTAATCTGTTTTTACTAATGGAGCCCAAACACATGAAAATCCATATATCTTAATCATACTTTCAAGGCCTGAATAACCTGCTGGCGGCACTGTGATTCCCTGGGCAGAGGGTTGTAACTCCAATGCCCAATAAGCAAAGACTATTTATTTATTCATAAATTAAAATGTCCATGAGCGGGTATCTCCCAGTAGCCAGTAGATCCCAGTAATCAGTTTCCACCTGATTCTGGCTGCAGGGAATGTATTTAGGTCCTCCCTTTTAGTGCCTTTTTGCTCCAGTGTTTTGCTTACTGAATGATACTGCTAGCTGTTTTCCTGTTCCTGCCCTGTATACTGTATTCTGTATCCTGCTGCTTGCTGCCTTGTAGCTGCTCTCCCTTGTTCCTGATCCCAGCTTTGGTTCCCTCTTCCCATCTGCTCCCTGCACCTCCAGTTTTCCCTACTTTACTGTCTTTCCCATTTTGTATATATTATATATAGTTACTGTAGTTGTTGGTTAGGCTTTCTTTTTGTTAGTTATTAGTCAGGTATTCTGTCTCTGGGTTTTCCTTCATTTGTATTTTAGGTTTGCTGTGTACTGGTGTTTTTTTGTTTCACTGTAAATAAATCACACTTAAAGCATACACAGTCTGGTCCTATTTTCCTGACTGTAGCCATGCTGGTTGGCCATCCCAGCTGCTGACACATACAATAAACAGGCTGGATCTTCATAGACCATGAGTTATATGTTGCTGCCTTCAGGTGATTGTACTTTGGTAAAGCTTTTGGACACGCCTCCCTCTTGGACATACCACTGTAACTCTACCTCACTCCATGAGAGTTCACTTTTTTTGCTAGTGTCCCTTAGGTGATAGACCTCTCCTCCCATTATAGGGAAGTTTATATGTTTAACTATTTCCTATTCACTTTGAATTCTTCAGTCGAATCTTTAGTCAACTTCTTGCCTGCCTTGTACTACAGCAAAAGAAGCAGTGCATCCAGATTGTTCCAACCTCAGTAAAACTTTATGAACAGTACCCGGACCTCATGCTGTGGGGACAGCATTTAATGTTGCTTTGGGTACTGGATACTGTTTGGGCGCTCACCTTGGCACCTATTGTAATGCATGTAGCTAGCTGCAGAATGCTATACAGGTCCATTCCTATGTTTCCCAAACCCTGAAGACCCCTCAAGGAATATCTCCACTTTCATGGGTGAAGCCTAGAACAATACAAGATGTGAAAAGGTATTGGACCATTACTGTAGCCCTATAGCAGGTATGAGACCTAAAATCTACACCACTTGCAGTACACTTACTAATATCTACTGCATAGTATTCATTCATTGCCGACCTCTTCCACTCTTCCTACCACTCCAATCCCCCACAGCTATCTCCTCCTGTACCACTATCTCCTCCCTCCTAGATTGTAAGCTCGAAAGAGCAGGGCCCTCGATCCCCCCATGTTTTGCATTGTATTGGTATTGTTTCTGTCCCCCTTTGTAATGTACAGCGCTGAGTGAACCATTGGCGCTTTATAAATACTGTATAATAATTCTTACAACGAAAACTATCAGGAAATGGGGGTCTATTTTCTTATTAATTTATTGTATAAATTTTCAAGTTTGTTGGTAAGAAAATATCACTGTTGATCTGTGTTTCCTTTGTGATTAGATTGGTTAACTGCTTCTTTATGCGGCTATATGCAGTATCTTCCATTTTGCTTGAGGTGATTGTAGCCGTATAACCGTATAACCGTGTAGCCGTATACGGCTACAATCACCTCAAGCAAGTTTGTTGGTAAATTTCCACCATTTAGAGCTTAGTCTGAGGTGGATGACTAGGTGTTGCATCACCTCACAATTCACACTATTGCAATCACTTCCATCCAGAACCCTCATAAGGTATTCAGGCACTTCTTCCTGCCTTTTTGCCACCAGGTCATCTCTTGTAGGATGGTTGACGCCTGGGTTGCTTTGTATGTTTCTGCAGACATGCTTACCCCATTTCTGCACTTCACATTGTGGATACCCCAGAGAGGATACCCTTACTGATATCAATGTGGGAAACCAGATGAAAGGACATTGCGGCAAAAATCTCAGGCAAATATTTGCTCTGCCGATGGGCTGCAAAGCACTCAGAATGATTTTTCTTCCCTTGCAACAGAGCAGAACCCTATTTTCACATTAGTCTCTGCATCCACTTTTAACTCTATCACACAGCAAGCAGTCTTATCTGACCAGGGCAGATTTCTCTGAAATATCAAAATTTCTCAGACAACTAACAGCCTTAATTTAGCCTACCCTGTTCAGAGCTAAAAAAGCACAGGCTTCTTCCGCAACTTCCCAGTACCTAAGGCAGAAATGGAACTACTTCCACTAAAAGAGGTAGAAATAGAAAACTTTTAAAAAAGACTTGGAGGCAGTGTTGGAGTCCAAAGAAGATTCCCATACACCTGATGCTATGGCTTCATGCAATATGCTTGCTAGTGTAGATATGCTCACTTCTGCTGTGTGCAAAAGCCTCTGCATATTTGCACTTGATTTTCCTCAGTCTTTTCCATGGACCCGCAGAATACTAAGAGACCTGCCACTTTTTAAAATGTACTCCCCATTCAGGAACATATGGAATTGCCAATTCATGATGATTGGGTTTCTCCTGAAAAGGTTTTCACAACTTAGAGAATCATTGCTGAGCTATATATAATGGAAAAAGATCTTTTTTTTTCTCATGAGCCTGCAGAGCATTGCACCCACCATCATTGGACAGGGGCATATCATGAAATTAGAGAGCCCACGTGCAATATCAAAAGCGGGCTCTAGGCATTGATAAAGAAAATTGGGCATAGTTAAATTTTGCTAAATATTGGGCATGGATATGGTTGAGTGTAGTTAATATATAGTCTGAGATGACTTGCATAGTGCAGAATTGTGGTGATGTTAAATAGGGAATGTACAGTGTGGAATGTATGGCGGTGCGTAGTATGTGCAGCACCGGAGTGCAGAGTTTATGGTGGTGGGCAGTATGTGCAGGAGAGGTGTGCGGAGTGTATGGTGGTGGTAGTATATGCTGGAGAGGAGCGGGAGTGTATGGTGCAGAATGTATGGCAGTGGGTATTATGTGCCGGAGACGAGTGCGGAGTGTATGGCGGTGAGTGGTATGTGCAGGAGAGGAGTGCGTAGTGTATGGTGGTGTTTGCAGGAGAGCAGTGTGGAGTGTATGGAGGTGGGTAGTATGTGTAGGATGGTGTCAGTATGGCAGTGGATGGTGTCGGCAGTTCTTTATTTTTAAAATAATTTTTCTACAATTTAAATTTGTATTAATTTTTTATCATTTTTTCAAAATGCTTTTGGGTTGCCAGTGGATTGTGTCAGTAGGCGGTGTCAATAGAGAAATGGAGTGGGTGTCAGATTTTTTTTTATATTTTTAATATTTTGTTTTTTTAATTTATGTACTATTTTTTTTCACAATGATTTTGTGGGGGCAGTGGACAGTGTCAGTAGGGAGTGAACAGGGAGCATTAGGCTGGTAATACATTATACAATTTTCTTGAGATTTTTGCTTTAGATTCACCAAAAACCATATAATAGGAGGTCAAACCCAAACAACACTTTCAGTTGTATTCAATTAGGCAGGACCTTGCACTACACAGTTGAAGGTAAATCTAAAGGAAATTGGGCAGAAATTGGACAGAACATTGTATAGTGTATGTCCAGCCTTAATACACACTATATTGCCAAAGGTATTGGGACACTCCTCCAAATCAATGGATTCAGGTGTTCCAATCACCTCCATGGCCACAGGTGTATAAAATCAAGCACCTAGGCATGCAGACTGCTTCTACAAACATTTGTGACAGAATGGGTGCCTCTCAGGAGCTAAGTGAATTCAAGCGTGGTACCGTGATAGGTTGCCACCTGTGTAATAAATCCATGCTGCTAAATATTCCACGATCAACTGTTAGTGGTATAACAAAACAAAGTGGAAGCAACTGGGAACAACAGCAACTCAGCCATGAAGTGGTAGGGTCAGCGCATACTGAAGCGCACAGTTTGCAGAAGTCTCCAACGGTCTGCAGAGTCAATAGCTAAAGACCTCCAAACTTCATGTGGCCTTCAGATTAGCACAACAACAGTGCGTAGAGAGCTTCATGGAATGGGTTTCCATGGCCGAGCAGCTGCTGCTTCCAAGCCTTACATCACCAAGTGCAATGCAAACCGTTGGATGCACTGGTGTAAAGCATGCCGTCCCCGGACTCTAGAGCAGGATAACGTGTCTGGCAATCCAATGGAAGTGTCTGGGTTTAGCAGTTGCCAGGAAAAAGCTACTTGC